CTCCCCAATATATAACTGAAAAAAGAAACCTAGGGTTTCCTCCAAGTCGAGATTTTGTTTGATCTTCTCAAGGTTTTTGATACTTGAGAGAATTAAAAAAAGCCACAGGACAAAGCCCACCTTAATGATGAGAACAAACTTTGCCCTCTCCAACACCCCTTGGGAGTGTGGCGAGCGCAGTGGAAACAGCCACACCAACCTTGAGCAGGGTGGCTCAGACCTGACAAAAAAAGTTAACACACCGTGAGAACACCTTCCTGAGGGAGGGAGAGGTATCCCTTCCCTTCCAGAAGGAAGACAAACACTTCCCCAAACATTCATGGCAGCGCACTGCGCAGCTTGGTAGACTTTGGTTATTTGCATTGTGTTACTTTAGTCCTGTCTGTGTTTCATTTTTTTAAAAATTTTGTTGGGGGTTTTTTTGAGAAAGGAGAAGAGATTTTCCTCGACATTACCAAGCAAGCTCGGCTGAGTAAATGAACGGGGCGCACACGGCGAGGGGACACGACCAGGGCGACCCAAGCAGAGGGAGCGCGGAGCGCACCGAGCCCCCGCCGTGCCCGAGGGCGCTCCAGGGCGGCAGCGTTTCCCAGCAAGTCACCCCACAGGACACTTGTCCCTCTACGCAGTTATTTATTCTATTTTCAGGAAAGCACGGGTCTGAGGGAGCGATTTGGGAACAGATTCCCTTCTTTTGAATCCCGCGGGTGCGCGGCCCGGGTACAACCCCGGGTACCACCCCGCTCCGAGCGCCGCGGGAGGGGACGCGCACGGTGCAGGGGTTGAAACCTTCTTTGCTCGCTGCCCGAGCTGCCAGGAGATCACCCCGCTGCAGGAGATCAGTCTTGCCAGAGATCTCCCCCCGTCGCGACCCCTTCCCCCTCCATCCTCCCTTCCCACGCACACGCAGCCCAGACGAGCCCACCGCCACGCCACCAGCCAGCCCGGAGCCCAACTTCGTTTCAAACAACAACAAAGCCACCAAAATGGTTTTGTTTGGAGGAAAGTTTATAAGAAACCCGGCTTGCCAGATGCACGTTACTGGTCAGTTCCATCTGTTAGCTTCGCTTACAGACCCTAAAAAAAAAAAAAAAATTATAGACCGTTTGCGCTTTTAACTCCCCCCAATCCAATTAATAACGCGAGTCAAACTGCAAAGCACTTATTAATTGCTCCCAAAGAAAAATCTTTCAGGAAAGTTAATTGGGAGCTTTCTGGTTTTCCAAGCAGCGCTATGAGCAGAGCAGACAGACTTTGCCTTGAGTTTCATTGTGGCTGAGCACGTTGTTTATCCCCCGCCTAAAGTTT